CCCCTTCCCATGCATCTCCTCCACCGTAAAATCCACTTTTCCTTTTCATTCTTTCCTCTTAAGAAAACGGTGGAAAGGGAAAGGGGCTAAAATTATGCCTCCGGCACCACACTCATCAGACGAAACGCGGAATTGCATCCACTTCACGCCTGTATTCTGTGTGGTCGTGGTATTGCACCGGGCGAGCCGACCCATACGTGCGAAGATGTTAAAGCGGGCTCTACCACTATTAAATGTCATTTAAACTATACCGAAATGTACTAAAATGAAGTAGTAAAAAACTTATATGTAATCCCTTATTATGCAACATTAAAAACAATAATACATAGCATGAAGAAAAGATAGCTAGTTGTTTTTTTTTCCTAAACAATAAGAAAAAAAACCGTTTAGACTTACATATGTGCGTAAAAACAGACTAGCTTGTATATTCCATGCGTGTAATTACTAACTGCGCTACGTACAATAATGTACAGTCAGCATGATTATGTGTTCATTTAACAATTCACAGGAACGTACGTTTTTTGTTTAAAAAATTATGCGCGTGTCTGTACCTATGCTACATCAGAAATAGATGGTATTGACTGATAAATGCGTTAGTACTCTGAAACCAGAGACCTATAGTTTGTAAAGTTTTGTAAATGCAGTCATACTTATGTAGCTGATTGTACATTTGTAGTAAAGAATAGCGCCTTTATAAAGCATTTTGCAAGAAATTCTGTTCACAAATATTCAATTTTAAAATACCTTATTTAAAACCCAAACTTTTCTTAAAATCTAATCCAATATTTACAATAGCCTATTGTAAGATAACGAGATGTAAATATTCAAGATTATAAAAGTTGATCGCTTAAGTACTTCGACTTTTAGCAAGAAAATACACAATTATTCGGTCGGAAAAAGCTCGGCGGCAGCTTTTTTTGTCTTTAACATTCTTATAATCTGGATAAGTTATTTGCTTGCGTGTTTCTTTTGTTCAATCTCTTTAAGGATAATACGTTCTTATAGAGATATTTTATGCTTGTTTGATTTTTATTTAGAAAACCTTTTTAGTTTTATCTGCGAAAAAAAGTCAATGCGTATTTTAAGTAAGACCAGCAGTTGCTTGCGACTTCGTCCAGGTGGAATTAAAAAAAATAGCCTTACTTACTGATAACTTAGTTTTTAAATAGTGAAAGAATTAAATAATGATAGAGGAAGAAATAGTCCCAGTACTTTTGAGTTCTTTCAATATATACAAAAATACAAATCTTTGCTCTTTATAACATTAGTTCAATGCTGACATTGCCGCTTATTAACTGAAGTGTAACTTGATGTTAATGTATGGATGAATCTTAATTATCTGCATAATTCAATAGACAGCTATGACGTAAACAAACTGCGCATAATCTATATCTATACTATTATAATAAAGCGTAAACACACACTACTTTGTGGCGTAGGATGTCAGCAATCACAGCATTTTTGAATAACTCTTTTCTTAATAAAAAGCCCTACACTTACGACACGTTTTAAGCTATATGTTTTTACGCTATTAAATTTGTGGGATAAATAATTGGAACAAAACCTTAATGTGGGAAAGGGACCATAAAAACCATGTTGCCAGCGTTAAGGAAGCAAGATTGCCATGGTTTGTTATCATGTCATGTCATTTTGACATTAAAAAAAACACTTTATTAATCAAACCAGTTGCAGTTGCAATTGATAATTTGACACATGTTGACAATAAAATAAACCTTTCATAATTTTGTATACATGTAAAGAAAACATACTGATTTATATTATATTAAGTACTACAGAATGGTGTGTTTATATGGACTGAAAAATGTCGTTATTTAATATTGATTTTCATTCTTCATATGTTATCTTTATTGTAACTAATATTATATTTAGTAATCGTCGGAAAAGGGAAGGGCAACGCATCTGCGGATGTCTCTGGGCAGCGGTCGCATCGCCATTTTGGCGGATTCAGGTGGCCGCTTGCTCGTTTACCACCTTATGTAAAAAAAAATGCGAAAGTTTGTATAGATGTGTTTGTTAGAGTTGGTAGCCTAAACTGCTGAACGAATCTCGATTAAATTTGGTATAAACGTAGATATTTTTTCAAAAACACATAGGCTACTTTTTTTTTAATTCCAAGCGGACTGATTACAATTATGAATTATTTTTGTTCATTATAAATTTCATCAAATAATTCTATTTTAGTCGACATTTTATTTAATGTTATTTTGATTTATTTGCTTAAATATAATTCTCAGTTCGTTAATTAGTTAACATCTACAGCCTTGCTTAGAAATTAAATAGTTTATATTTAAAAGATTTTAGTCTACTAATTAGTCGTTTTAATAATACTTATTTTAGTTAGGAATGGAAATAAATATTTAAAACCAATCGATATTCGTTATTAACCACAAATTGTAATTATCTTTTAGTTGGTATAATTGTTATTGTAATTGTTAATCTCTTGTTTTTCAATGAAATTATTTCTATTTCTCTTCTTCTCGCATCATGTCGTAAAACTTTACGCAACTTAATGTTTAAAGAATTACATTAGTGACCTATTTGGATACATTTCTAAACTCCGAGGTCTATTCAAATTCAGAAACGTCCGTGTATTCGCGCCCTTATCTGAATAATTTATGAGTCAAATGGAATGGATCAATTTGTGTATCTGTTTTTATCTTAGACAGCTTTCAAGTAAACGATTTGTTTTGCAATATGTTTATCTTTAACATATTTTTTTATTTATAACTTGAAAAGAAATAAAAATACGCTCTATTATTTCTTGTTACTGACAAATTACAATATATGGTAGTTTAAATTTCATTATAGAAAATTTCTTTTTATTAGCTTCACTAGCTTTCGTCCGCGACTTCGTCCTCGTGGTATAAAAAAACTAATTACCATATTATTTTTCCAAGCTATGCCAATTTTCATTGAGGTCCTTTCAGCTCTTTAAGCTACAAATTCTAACAAACATCCACCCATCCGAACTCTCTCATTTATATTAGTTTTATTATAAGACGTTATTTTCTTGAAATTTATCTTAAAAATGATTCAAATGAGGTCTGACAAATCGCGCTATTCGCGGGGAAACAAACCATTATTATGATCAGACATTTTTCTTATAACGAGATCAATTCGTCTTTGTCGCTTTAAGTTTCACGAACCAGTAGCGTAATGGTGACCATTTGTAACCAGTCTTGTTAATTTTATCTTTTTGAAAAGATCTGTCAGGAGTACTTTCATAAAGGAATACTCTACTTTGTGATTTAGTATACTTTGCTAGATATTTCTAGACTAAAATGTGCTTAACGAGCCGATACTAATTTTTTCTGAAGTTTTATCAATATTTTTTGTAATTTATTAGGCCGGGTCACAAAATTTAAACAATCGGCGCACAGTTAGTTAAAATCTCGGCTTATACAGACATTTTAATCTGATATAATTGTCTATGTAAGCCGAGATTTTAGCCCACTGTGCCTCACTCCTTTGTAAGGGACCGCAGCATCATTTTTCTGCACTTTTTGCTATCATCATCCACCTTATTTTACTCCCGGTACGACAGGTTTTTGTCCTCCAAATAACTCTATCATACGTCATCTCAGTCATCACTCCCTTTTTGATCATGTCACGTTTCACGCAATTCATCCATCTCTTTCTAGGTCTACCTCTACCGGTGTACCCTTCTACATTCATAAATAACGTTCTCCTTGTAACATGCGATTCCTTTTACTCCTTACTTTTTTGTACACAACTTAAAAACGACCATTGCTTCATCTGCATTTTTTTATAATTCTAAATGATAATTTGTCCTTCACTATAATAAAGAAACGTTAATAGCACTTTATCCGTAATCACTATAAAGATAACGTAATCGAATAGAAATTGAAATTTGCATAAGAATTTCGCCAAAGTAAATATTAATGGAATTTAATTTAGCAAAGTTCTCTCAAAGAGGAAATTTTGCGAGCCGTGATCCGCAGTGCAGTTGCTCTGTACACTACGTGCCATAAGTATTAAGTACTGCTAAGAAATTTCTTTGCTCTGTGCTTTTTAATGCTTAAAAATAAAACTTTATTTTTAGAACAGAACATTAAGTCCTCTTTATATTTCAATCCTTATCCTGTAAGGTTAGGATGGGAAGGAAAGGAATTAACAGTGGAGACGTACAGGGAGGTGAAATATCCTCTTTCTGTGCGTCCAATCATCTGTCGATAAAGGAGTACGCATCTGTCTTTGCTAATGTCTATGGGCAGCATTCGCTTCGTTATTTTGTCGAATACAAGTGGCCGCTTGCTCATAAGAGTAAAAAAGAAATGTTACCAAATAAACATTGAGAAATACAATTCAATGATTTTTTTTGAAATTACTTGTTTTGTACTTTCAGCAGCGAATTCGATACTATATGTTTTTTAAGCGCGATTGCGATTTCACAAACTCAATTCTTGTTATTATAGAAAAGTATTATTAGAAACTATATTTTGGCCAACATCTTCCTTACTGAATTAAAAAAAAAATAGTCTACGTGTTCTTCCAGATAGTTCTATATCTGTGTCGAATTACATCGAGATCCGTTTAGCCGTTTTGTTATTATGTAATCAATACGTATTTTGGAAACTGAAGGAAGGCAAGACATTAATAATTGAACGCCTTATCAAATATTAAATTATCAATATCATAACTGTTATATTGCGAAGCGATTTTAATTTAGCGAAAACATCTTAAAGATTCTCTTGACGGCCCCTCGACGTGCAGAAGTGTTCAATCCAATAAACTCGATGGCTTTTATCTTGAAGATGTAAATATTAAACGTTAATTCAAAATCACTTTTAGCATTTACAATCACCCAGTCAATTCGAGATTTTTTACGTAAGAAAAACTTTTATAATCTGTGATTTGATTTCGGGAATTAATGTACCTTCAAGAAATTATGAATGTTGGATTTCTAGCCATGATAATACATGGCCCAAAAACGACCTCCTCTCACGAGATATTTCAAAATGAAACCAAAGAAATGTAAGTTCGTCGTATTTAGAAATAAACGTTAACGAGTTCCATTAGTCGCCGTCTTCTCTCGTCATTAGATCAGCTTTGTGTAATTATTCCTTATATTTAATGAAAAGAGTTGCCTTAACGAAGAAATCTTCTTTACAATATTTTTCTTACTACTCTACAAATCTTTTTGTATTTATTGTAGCTTACTGAGAATTTTTTATTGTTTCAGATTGCGCAGTACGTCTTCGAACTCTGAGATCAGGTCGCATACACTCCGGCCACCTGCCGCGCGCACACGGCTGCCGTCTGCTTATCCCCACGCCCTCATCCAAGAACTCTCTGCTCATAGAACTACATAAACTGAACGTGCCTTGCGCCTCCGGCTATCTTCGATTCTCACCAACATCACCTATCCTATGTGGAAAGCTAGAACAAATACCATACCCCAACAGAAGGTTCATCTACCTCTCGTCTTCTAAAAATTCAGAAATAGAACTCCACGGTCGACCCACGTTCGCCGCGATGTACCGCCTAGTAGACTACTGTCATGATGTTCTACTGACGGCCAGAAACGGCTCGTTCGAAGTCGAACCGACCACAAAACTGACCTGTTCCTACCATATACATTTACCTTATGGAAACAGAGTCGCGTTACGATTACAAATGGGCACAGATCCTGTTAACAGAAACAATGATTTGTCAAATATAATTCACGAAGATGTTCATGCTAAATGTACAGGTATGACATTAATTCTTGAAGATGGTGAATCGAAATGGAATCATTGCTCCAAACCTGGAGATCCATTACGCAGCGTACAAATAGTATCAGAGAGAAACTCTGTAAGGTTAAATATAAGTGTATTAGGTAAGAAAAATACGATGGCGATGTGGTTGAAAGTATGGTGGATGTATAAACCAGTAGAAGAAGTGATAGGACATTGTGATTACGGTTGGGTGTTGTCGGGGGACTTCTGTGTAACAGCGATGAGGGAGACGAAGAGAGCGTGGCGTCAGGCGGAGGTAGACTGCGTCAGATTGGGGGGACATTTGGCCAGCGTTCTTAATGAGCGACAGCAACAAATTATGGACCAATTACTTTTAAACGCGTAAGTTTTTGACACTTACTTGCTGTGTTGTCTTCTGAGATAAAGTTAACATAGTTCAAAAGCCTTGGTTTTGGTTCATTAATCGATTACCTTTTGTTTTAACCAGATAAATTGATTCCAGTTTATAATCTTGATACGATCGTCATTTGTTTTAGCTTTATCTAATCCACTGGGAAGAGAACTTGAATGTGTTGGTAAAAGTTTCTTTAAGCAGATAACCGCTTCCGCGCCGGTGTACCGCTACTGTAAAACTTTGAAATGCATTTAATATTTAACATGAAAGTTATTAATAAAGAACTGAAATTTCAAATGTTTTCGTAGACAACTTATTTACTATCTGGTACGTGATTATATTATGTTTCTTACAGACCCGGGAATGGAGTGGATGACGTATACTGGATAGGGGCCACGGATGCGGTACACGAAGGAGAATTCCGATGGTCTGACGGACTGCCCTTTTCTTATGCACGTAAGTGTATTTGCATAATATATATCTATAAAATTACGTTGTTCCATACGAGTTATAAAAAGTATTTTTTGTAATAGAAAGAGGCTAAGAAGTCACGTAGATAAATGTTCTCAAAATTCAAGGTTACATAATTATCGTAATTACTTCGTTAGTATGAAGATTTATTACGTTATCTAACTTTTTCTCATTCCATTAAGTCTATAGGCATGATTCAATTTTCATTTAAGAAATAACTTAGGTAAGCTCTTCGTCACCGCTTAGAAATAAGCCAAGTCTAGACTCCCTGGCGACTACAAGCGATACTGAATTAAATATTTACATATATAATTCTATTACAATCTAAAATAAATCCAATAACGTTAATGTAAGGTGTAAATTTACTTAATCACTTAAGACTTAAGTTGGAGTTAAGTTATCTGGAAGTAATTAATTGAGTCTCACAAATTGGTGCTACGAATTGGAACAATCAGGTTGCCTAATTAGCGGTCGCAAAGTCGATTGCATTTTAAAAAATCGAATAAGCATAAATTTGAAAATAAATTTTACTTCCATAATTAAATGAAGATTTAATGCGAAATAAAAAACTATAGCTTACTTTCACAAAATTTGAACCATATCATATATTTAATTCCTTCTCAACTGGTTAAGGCTTTTAATTAATTTCCTAAGAAAGAGGCACCACAGACTACAAACTTTTATCGGCCGATTTTTTATCGATATTTGCTTACATATATCGATATTTTGAAACAATTTAACGCAATCCCTAGTCGACATAAGCTTGCGGTTTGATTACGAGCGTAACTTGTTGAACTGAGCTCTTTGCGAAGTGTTGAATGAACTTTGAATATACGAAACATTTACTTAGTTGAAGTCACTTCGTGTGATGTACGTTACGTTAACTTTTAGTTAATTACAATGTACTATATAATACTTTCAATGTTTACAGTGACGAACTCTTTTATTCTATGTAAAATTAATCCTATCGTTACTAATTATAAGGTATATCTTTTACAGAAAAAATAATTTTTAAACAAGCAAAGCAATTGACTTTAAAACACTATTCTTCCTTTAAATCCTAACATAAAACCTTCGTTATTTTTTAGTTAAAACAAATGAAATCTGCGAATACACGCAGGCGATGTGAATTACTTGAAATATTCAACACAATTACACCCCCGAGACTCATTACATTGCTAACGTTCTCTCTAAAGAAACATTTTTTCATTCATAGTTTTGATTCTCAAATATGTTAATATCCCCACGGAACATAACGTATTTCGTTACCAAAAATTACTTTAAACAAAAGACAGTAATATCAAAAACATTTTACAACACAACATTTGTTACTACTATTTAAATTGTACCGTATTCTACTAAAAGTTCATACATTTAAGAAAGAGTTTCAGGAAACTAGTCGTAACACATTGACGGAGTGATTTTTTTCTATACAAAAAGCGATCAAGCTGCCACCTAAATCCGCCAAATTGGCGAAGCGACCGCTGCCCATAGACATCCGCAATTGCAAATGCGTTCCCTACCCTAAATCAACAGAGGAGGAGAGGCACATAAAGAGGATATTTCCCCTTCCTATGCATCTCCTCCACTGTCAAATCCACATTTTCATCCGATCCTTTCCTTAATAGAAAAAGGTGGCACGGGAAAGGGACTAAAATTGGGGATCCATAAGTCTTAGGACCATGAATCAATCAACTCCTGTTAATTCTACCCCTTGTAAAGGGTGAAGATAATAACTTGAAACCTTAACATATAAGCATTTAGCGAAAGTAACTTCAAAGCTCCGTTAGACATAACTTCCATTATGTTAATTAAATTTACAATATTCCGGACAACTTCCGGCTTTAATTAAATTATGAAATTCTGAAAGAGATTCATTAGGGAATATCATTAATTATAATTTCTACGAACAAGTAATGAATTGAAGGTTTTTAATGAAAATAGTCTGTCAGATACAAAATGGTATAAACATAAAAAAAATCTTATTAAAGTTCTATGGTCAGCTGTCAGAGGGTCACGACCAAAGTGCAAACACTAACTCGATAATTGAACATACAAAAAAAGAAAATCAATCTATGATAAGTAGCCTCAAGCCTACATTGATGGTAAATCCAAACGTTTTCTGCAGACTGGTTCCCCGGTTGGCGCAAGCACAGCAGTCAGCCAAACGACGATGGTACATCGGGTCAGGACTGCGTGGAGGCACGACGCGACTTCCCGCCGCGCCCTCCGGCTCCTCAACCCACCTACATGTGGAATGATCGCTCCTGTCACGAGCACAATTACTACGTCTGCGAAGTACCCTCCATTGAAGGTTTGGAAACTCCGTGAAGAGCACATCTTTGACTAAACTAACCCACAATTGTTTAGTCTCATACTACTCGATTTTGCAACTAAACAGTTGATTAGGCTGCGAAACAATCGACAATCGCACAACAGTTGTGCGACAGTTTAATCAAAGGTGTGCCTAAAAACCTTTAGGTTACTGTGTTGAACATTAACACACATAGTTTACGACCTCTTCTCGACAGCAATTGTCGGCTGTAACAAGGCAAGTGTTTAGTGACGTCACAAAGTCTTTTACGACCGCTCCTCCGTCCTGATTACTTGGCAACGGCATCCGGCCTAGTTACCGGTAAACAAACTCTTGGCAGCTCTTGGCAACTCTTGGCACACACTATCTGGTCAATCACTTGCCAAATAAAAGTTCTATTTAGTTAACTTAGCCTGGATTAAGGCTTGGCAATATAATGAAAACTATGTGAGAAATTCCCCACAATATCTCACTTCTTACTATCTTATCTTACTACTCGTAATATTATAAATGTGAAAGTTTAGATGGATGGATGTTTGTTAGAGTTTGTAGCCTAAACGACTGAACGGATCTTGATGAAATTTAGCATAGACGTCGAGGATAGTCTAGAAGAACACATAAGCTACTCATTTTTGTTTTTTCTTTAATTCCACGTGGACGGAGTCGTCTGCGGAAGGTAGATTACCATAAATTACAAAGTTGGTTCTCAAATTTCTTTTTATCCCAGGTAACATTTTTACTAGACATTTGTAATCCTTCATCGGCTTTGTATTGTAAGCTTGATATATTACTTATAAGATAAACGCAAAAGATACCTTACAACTTCAACACCTAACAAATGAAGGTAATTTGCAATCCCTTTGAAGTCGCGTTCTACAGGATTTGTTAACTATGTGAAGTTGCTAACAGCGTTATATTAAATCTTTCTAATTTAAATATCTACTAATATTAAAAAAAATGTTGCAGTTTAACTTAAAAATTTTGGATCTATTTTCAAATTATCAACTTACTGATGTGAAGGCATAATTTAGACTGAGTTCAATAGAACAGTTTTTTGCCTACACAGGCGGTTTTAATTGTAGTACAGTTAGTGCGTACCGATTTTTATTTTTATTTATCTAACTACAAACTAAATTGAAGCCAATAACATTTTCATACATCTAATAAAAGCATTATTTACACAAATAATAGAAAAAAATGCTTAAAATAAGTTGAATTTTTCGGATAAATCAGTGTGAAATAGTTTAAAACATTACTTACACAGGTGTTTCCAACTTATAAAAGAACTCTAGCCACACGCACCTAATAAAAGAGACAGTCTAGGGACGGAAAAACGGGAATATTTAACCTGCAAAATGAAATGTAGACTTTAACCCAATACGAAGAAAAGTTATTATTCTATGTTGGTAGACGGAGACATTAAATGGATAGTAGAATGTTTGAAAGCTGTGGTCTGGACACGTATGACCAAACGTGTTACATCACGGTTTGAACTTTAATATTGCATTATTTTGAGAAAACATTTTATAACATACTAGCTTTCGTCCGCGACTCCATCCGCGCACAATTAAGAAAAACAAATGCAAATGTATTTGTTTGCCCAGACTATCCTCTACATCTATGCCAAATTTCATCGAAATCTACAAACTCTAACAAACATCCAACCATCTATCTAAACTTTCGCATTTATAATATTAGTATGAAGTTTGATTTGATAAGAATATTGTAATAGAAATAATAAACGACAGCGTTTATGGAAACATTAGACGACGGAGACGGTTTTTAAAAGAAAGGATCACATCAAAATATGTTCTGGGAAAACTAAGCAAGTTCCATAGGTATAAAACATCTATCGCTTGTTCCTATCCAACAAATTCTGCAAAATTAACATCATCTTGTGGCATAAGCTTTAATATACAAGACTCCTCCAACTTTACCCTTGAACAAAGTACGTAACACTTCAAACTTAACCACATAATCACAGTAAAGTAGTGGACATGTTCATTACGCGAGGTAACATAAGGGGCACGAGTCAGCCCCTACACACTCGAGGCCATCCCCTACCCCTCTATAAACATTTAATGGCCGGCACCTCGGTCTGATTACGGCGAGCGCCACCTAGCGCTCGTAAACCATAATTACTTCAACCTCTTGGCTATTGGCATTGAACACGTTTGTCGTATAGATTATAACTTTTTTGTAATCTTCTACGCTATTTACAAATTGATCCAGTAAGAGAAATTACTTGAAATACATTGAATAATTCTTTGAGAGAAAAGTACTTCTTCCTTAACTTGGCTACTCATTTGCCGTTCACCTAATAATCAAAAACTTATCTCCTCTTCTAAAACTGATACTGTCTTGATTTAATTATCCTCTAAAATTAATCCTTTGATATATTAAAAACAAAATGTAAATACAAAAGTAACCATACATTAACATGTATGAAATGTAAAGGTATTCTCTCGTAGACAATCGTACCTCGGAGCCCGGTGTCAACAGAAGCGGTGCATTCCAACAGCCGCCATCTTGGATTCATGGCGTCTGTTGAAATGTGACAATGCTATGAATTCTTAAACACGATGTGAAATGTAAACCACGCGGCTGTTTATTCATGTCAGTTGAATATAAGATTGTTTTAGTGGTTGTTTTGTGTGTGTTTTACACCAAGTAATTCTCCAAATGTTGTAAAGTTATAACATAATAATTAAAGGATTGCATATATCTTACAAATTACACATATTTGCTTAGCTTTAAAGCGTGGAAGGTAAATTCTTAGCTAACCTGATTACAACCTTCTCCATCTATTGTCTAAAATTTGCAATATGTTTCCAAAATATTAAAAATCCGGCTTAAGAGGACCAAAAATTCACAAATTTTATGATTTTAGATCCCTACACTGCATCAAAGATCCAGTGCAACGAGACGATAGTCCTGACACATAGCCACCCGCACGCTATAGTGTCGAGCCCCGGCTTCCCTCGGCCGTACCCTGACGACGTGGATTGCGTGGCCGAAGTGCGCGCGCCCCCGGCGCACACGCTTCGTCTGCACTTCGAGGAACTGCTCACTGAACATGAGCCACAGTAAGTTATGGATACTACAAATATGCTCCTAAAATAGAATATTTTAAACATTTATCACGTAAGAATCTGTGAAATAAAAAAATGGAAAACACAGAGATGCTGAACACTGGTGGGAAATTAATTTGAAGGTTTGCTATTCGATGAATAAAAAGCAACACTTTTAAAATTTTAAATACAAAAAGCAAAAGTTTTAAAATTTCAGGTTTAAGCATCTGAAACCTCACATTAAAAATGATGTAACATTACGGTGGAATCTAGTAAGCGGAGTTCGTTTTTCAGCCGCTACAGGCGTTCCGGAGGTTTTTTCTTATCAGCACAAATCTCTCAGCTGCCGATTCAACTAAATTTATTGCTTGAAAAGTTCCCTCGCGTCGCATTCTGACCTAATCACAACTTATCTACTAGATTTGTTACCGACTTTGTCATGTCAGATTGGTACTTAAGTTATACAATGCTTAAACACAACTTACATAATATATTGCGTTACGCTCATATTTAGAACTTAAAATTTACTTATACAATCAAAGTTTAGTCTAATTTTCAACTATCAGATTTTAATGAGATCCTCGGTGAGGACGAATTCATATAATACGAAGTTTTATTTCATGACAATAATATTGTATATAAAAATCAAGTCATTGACCTGATTTTATATGATGTTATAGCACAACTCGGTTTAATGTATGATACTGACAAACAAAATCTTTAGATTTTATTTGGCTCGTAGTTAACCTCTAGGCAAAGCAATAAAAGGCCGAAAACAGCATACTTAGATTTAATTTCACGATAACAATACATTTGATTTCCATTAGTCTACATGTAAGTGAGATACTTAACTATGTTTATTTTAATTACAATTTTTTTTTCTTACTAACTTGTAGATTCTAAATGTTTTCTGAGTATCTTTCTGTCAAACTCTAGAAGGAAGATTCTTTCTTTTGTTTTACTATGTAAAATCTACTTAGCTGTTATTAACGACTTGAGTGTTTGTTTAATTTCGTTAAAAAACCCATTCATACAGTCCATCCATCTCTTTCTAGGTCTACCTCTCTCTTACACACTTATAATCGGTAATAGTAAATATCGATGATTTCTAGCACAGTGGCGCCACTGTTTCGTGCCGTAAATAGACAACTTTTTAATTAAACGACAAGCCGTGTACTAAATGCGTTGTTTGATTTAAAAATCCTTAATGCTCACAGCTTGTAAGCGGATTACAAGTTTAAAGCTGATGACGTTGTAAATTGCTTTTCTCTACAGACATATTGTCTATTGTCGTTACATTTAGTATTGCCAGATTAGAATTATTTAAGGTAATAATCAATTTATCACACGATTTAAGATTTAATATTATGAGTCTACATAAGTTTTATTGGACTTTCGTTGTATCTATTCATAACATTGCATTTTGTATTTTGATTATATCACAATTTTTACAACATATTTGATCTTAAAATATTGCGTAAGAGAACAAAGGATAATTGTAAATGGATTTATACTCTATTTAATGTTGTTTAAGTTCTAAAATCCAATGTCTTTAGCTCAATGGTGGCGTTAGTTGGAACAATACAGGGCAGTGCTTGAGTAAACAATAGCAACCAGGGATGGCTGCCAATCGATGTCCGACTACGTGCGATGTCCGTTGCAAGCTACGCTAAAAATTACACACTGCTTGCTCTTTCAATTCTAAAGTAATTTTGTGAAATATTGATACGTAAGCTTTACGAAAAATTAGTAAAAAGCATCCTTTTTATATCGTTTTATTTGATAAATCGACGGCCAGAAAAGTGTTTTAATTAATCTTTGCTTTTTGTTTTTTTTATTGGTTTTAATGATTACAAGTTATGAAAACTAATTTATGATAAAAGTTATGTTATATTAAGATTTCAAAATAATCTTACTGTCTTATTAATATTATAAAATGCGAAAGTTTATGGGAGAATCTCTAACATTTGTAGCCTAAACGGATCTTGATGAAATTTGGCACAGATGTAGAACATAGAAGAACACATACGCTACTTCCTTTTGTAATGTTTAAGTCTACACGGACCGTATTACCGGCGAAAGCCAGTTAAGAATAATAATGTTATATTCTGTCTACAAGTGTTAATCTATGATAAAATAGCAGTTCATAAATGTTAATTTAACGAGACAGTCTGCAGTTAGTTTCCCTAGAGTATAATAACTCTGTATAGATAAGTTGGGAGGCGACGAGTCGTGTCCTGAATTATTAATGGTCGTAGACAATAGAGTATATCGTTGCTTGGTTTGTATTTGATATCTAATGCTTATATGATGGTATCAATTGCTTTTGAAAGCACCCTAAAAAAATAAATCATTTTACGTAAATACGAAATACTAGCTTTCGCTAACGACTCCGTCCACATAGAATTAAAAAAAAAACTAAAACAAAAGTAAGTAGCCTATGTGTACCGGACTATGCTCTACATCTATGCCAAATTTCATCAAAATCCGTTCAGCAGTTTAGGCTACAATCTCTAACGAACATCTATCCATCCATCTAAACTTATACATATATAATACGAGCTGTTGCCCGCGACTTCGTTCGCGTGGTATTAGAAAACATACGAACTATATAAATTACAAAAAGCTACGTATCCCTCGGGAACCGGATATTTCTCGGGGATGAAGCTTATCCCACGTGTACTCCAGACTTTGTTTTATATCTGTGCCAAATTTCAATACGATATGTTGATCCGTTGCAGAATGATCGAGTAAACATTAAAAAATTAAATTAATGAATCCCACGGGAACCGTAACTACTGTCGGGATAAAAAGTAGCCTATGTGTTCTTCCAGATTATGCTCTAACCTGTGCCAAATTTCATGGAGATCCGTTCAGCCGTTTAGGCTACAAACGCTTACAAACATCCATCCATCCATAAACTTTTGCATTTATAATATTAGTAAGATTAGTAAGATAAGTTGACTATTAAGGGGTTTTAGATTTCCCTTGTCTGTAACTCTACTTCGATAGTTTGATTTCTTAAACCATTTCTAACTTAGGAGTTAACTTAAGTGGTCTCAGTGTCTTAACACCGTTTAGCTGCTTTGTAAAGTAATCTTTAGGGACACGAACCACTTAGCCGTCTCGATGATGTCTGAACGAAATGAACTGTTACTAGAAACGTTCTCATATGTGTTGTACTTTGTTTTGAACAAACTTAAGTTGAGGGTGACGACCCGCAAAGAAAACCAAATATTAGTATTATTTTTACTGTTAAATATCATATTTCATTATGAACTAATGAATTAAAAAATATTAAACATCGACCTGTTTTTTGTGACACAAGAATTAAGATGTAGGTATTCCAAATCAATCTTATCTTACTTCTTACTAATAGATGGATGGATGGCTGTTTGTTAGAGTTTGTAGCCTAAACGGCTGAACGGATCCCGATGAAATTTGGTATAGATGTACAGGATAGTCTGGAAGAACACATAGGCCACTCACTTTTGTTTTGTTTTATTCCACGCGGACGGAGTCACGGCCGAAAGCAAGTCAAATATAATCTAAAAATAAATATAAAACGTTTCTAATTTCAATTACTAATTTTGATTTAAGAATAACACATTATATAAAACCGTTAACACAGCTTTATGTTACAATTTATGATTAATTCCAAGGTATTGGCTTTATAAATTTGCATCGATGTCGCGATAAAATGCAATACCGTTCCAGCCGGATATTGTTTACCGGATCGGACGCGATATCCGTCG